GTTTCATTCTATTTGTAAAAGGTTTCATTTCAAGTGGAAAAGGTTTCATTTAATTTGGAAAAGGTTTCATTTAATTTGGAAAAGGTTTCATTTAATTTGGAAAAGGTTTCATTTAATTTGGAAAAGGGTTCATTTAATTTGTAAAAGGTTTCATTTAATGTGGAAATGCTATATTTGACTTAATAAATTGTTGATGATAAGGTAACTGCTTATCTTAATGAAGGGGTTCCCCACTTGCAGCTTGTGGGATTTTCAAAACCATGTCCATAACGTAGTTAGAACAATCTTGCCGAGTAAGCTTTTGAATACTTCGCGCGATTACATCAACAATGTTATGTTCCATTGAAACGTCTCACAGCTCAGCTCTTGCACATAATTTTATTTTTGAAAATGCATTTTCGATTGGATTTAGCATTGGAGAATAAGGCGGTAAGAATTTAAGGTTGCATATTTTGGATTCGATCAAATTTTTTATGTCATGTCGCTTGTTTTTTTGAGCGTTATTTTCCAACTCTGGATTGATTTTCTCAAAAAAAAAAAAAAAAAAAAAAAATCTATAAATAATTTAAATCTGTCTGCATTGACACTGGAATTATAAACGATTGTGTGATGTACAACTCCCGCGTTGTTTATTGCTGCAATTATAGTGACATTACGACCTCTGACCGTAGGCAACACAATGTGTGCTCTTGTTCCTTGTCTTGAACGGGCTTGGGTTCTTCGTATGTGAAGATTAAGTCCACACTCATCAATGAATATTAATTTTTCTCCTTGTTGGGGTATCCATTTTGTAAAGTCTTGAGCATATTTTTGTCTCAAGCCTAATGTTCTGGAGTCATTCTCTCGTTCTATTTCAATAGAGGTCATCTTAAACGTAATTTTTAATTTCCGTAATCCATATTCTATGCAGCTTGTGGAAATATTTATATCATTTTCTCTCAACAGTTTAGTTTTTATGGCTTTGAGGGTAATTCCAGGTTGACTTTCTATATAGAACTCGATCAGACTTAAAACTTGTTGTGTCAACAACTTAGTTCTATTTCCTCCACGCTTATTTTCCTTCAATGTTCCAAAAACAACGCGGGAGTTGTACATCACACAATCGTTTCTAATTCCAGTGTCAATGCAGACAGATTTAAATTATTTATAGAAATTTTTGTTTGAGAAAATCAATCCAGAGTTGGAAAATAATGCTCAAATACACAAGCGACATGACATAAAAAATTTGATCGAATCCAAAAGATGCAATTCAATCGGCTGGTAAGGTTATGGCAACGGTTTTGGGACTTCAAAGGTATTTTATTGCTTGACAATCTGCAAAATGGTAAAATAATAAATACAGAGTACTATTGCAAACTTTTGGATCAATTAAATGTAAAAATTCGAGAAAAACGTCCTGGCTTACAACACAAAAAAAATATTTTTCATCAAGACAACAACGAATTAAAGTACGATTTGCATTACTACCCTTGTTCCCAAATCTAAAAAATCCTTCCTGGCAAGCGTTTTACCTCCAATGAGAATGCAATTAGAGTTTTTAACGACAATTTTGAAGGCCTTGAAGAAAACTATTTTAATCAAGGTATAGAATTTCTAGAAAAGCGTTGGACTAAGTATATTGAATTTTCGGATTACATTGAAAAATAAAAATGTTTTAACAAAACTAACTAAGGTTTCGTTTAATTGCCAAAAGGTTTAATTTAATTTGGAAAAGGTTTCGTTTGATTTTGAAAAAGTTTCATTTAATTTGTAAAAGGTTTCATTTAATCTGGAAACTTATAAACTTCATCACATTGTGGTGCAGAGTATTATGTATTTGTGCCTATGTTGATAACAGGCAAAAGGAAACGAGATAGACCGATGGTTCCTTTTGAAAATATGCATAGAATTACTTTCTGAGTCGATTTATATATGTCCGCCGTCATATATAAATCGCCGTCCATGCTAAATTGCAAAAAAGTGCAGGTCCCATTTATGATCGGAATTGGATGACATTTTGCACAGCTCATTTATTTGAAAATCACTTATCGGTTCTGATTTAAATATAGGTCCCATATATAGTTTCGTCTGGTTTTAAGTAAATGATACACCAAGAACCAAAAATATGGCCGATATGCAGAAAACGTACTGAAGTTAGTATAAACCTTGAACGTTGAAATCGTTTCGGATTTGGATATAGCTTCCATATATATGTTCGCCCCATTTTAAATAAATGGTGCACAAAACTCCTCATGGTTGTCAGATTGACACGAAACACAGAGTCTGCGGTAGGCAGTAGCATCATGATCTCACTTACTGGTAAAGGCCATAATATTGCAATGGCCAGTAATGACTCCTGTCATTACTCTAATTTCAGCACAGGTTCCCGCGTCTACCTAATTCGTCTGCTTTTTCATTACCCGTGACCTGGTACCCAACACAGCCGATAGCTGCTCTACACTCGAGGACGACCACAGATTTGTTGCAGGATTTGATGGATTTAAGAGCCGCCTAACTAACTACAAGGATGGTCACCGGTTCAACGATTTCTGCATCCAGACTTGTTATCAATTCCGCTGCCTTACAGATCGCGAAGATTTCAGCTTGGAAAACACCACAGTTGCTATCCAGCTTGTAGGTAAGCTCAAGGCGGCTGCCTCCGTACCTTCTTTCATCTTGGATCCGTCTGTATAGAAACCAGACCGACCAGAGGAGGATTGCTAGGTTTCCAGTCGACGATGTAACGACTACTACATCGTCAAATCTCAGGACTGGTGATGTATAGTCGCTTATTTTTACATGTTGGTCCATTCCAGTCTTTTTCGAAGAAGTAAGGTCCAATAACAACTTCGGACAAGAGAGCGCACCTAATTGTGACATTCTGCATGTAATGGCCTCGGTAATTGCATGAGGTTTGTCATAAACCCAAATACGACAATTTTGTTTATTAACGTAGCCGAAGTTGGACGATTATGTAAACCACAATATACTCTTGAAGTACGATTTGTGGTTGTGGCAGAATGACAATTTTTGTAGTAGGTTTTAAACAGTTTTATAAGTTGTGAAATAGATAAACGATCCATTTTCGTCAATGTCAGACTCTCATGAAAAGAAAAAAAACAATAGTTAGACAAATATCGAACTCCACTAACATAATTTTGAAACCACTAAATGGTTAAACCTTGTCCCTACAAAATTTCAAGTGAAAATCTCAACAACTCTTGAAGATATAGTCGATTTATTGAGTCAACATCAAGTGACGGCAAGAGTGATTCTCAAACTTTAAACGCATTTTTCTCGAAGCAGTGTTTTACAAATGACGGGCACGATAATTTATTTGCTTTGCTTCCATCCGTATGTATTTTTTGTGAGCGACCAGAAGCATTTATTAACCGATTTGGATGAAACAGGTCACTTATTTCGCCAAAGGACGAACCCTATTGAAATTGTATAAAATCGGTGCAGATTTAGATATATTTTCGTACGATTTTATGCGAATGGTGCAACAAACACCCAATATTTGTCCGATTTAGACAACATTTTGTGGAAATCGGTTCAGATTTCGATACAGCTTCCATATATATTTTCGTCCGATCTTACATAAATGGAGCACCAATTTTTGCAAAGCGTACTAAGATTTAGTTCAGATTTAGTTATAGCTCCTATATATTTTCGTTATATAAATGGTACACCAAAATCACACTGTTCTAGGCAATTGATACGCAATTTAGCATAGCGTATTGAATTGAGTTTGGAGTAATGGAAGCAGCACCGATCGAGTTTTATTTTGCATGTGATATTAACAGCGCTTTCATTTAGTAAACATATAAAATATGTTGCCTATCTTCTGAAACTTTTCTTGAAAAATCCACACCTCATAGATGCCCATAAACTGTTCTAAAATTTGTCTATATAATATCCTCGCCATACATAAAACAAAATTGTAAAATTTTTTTTATTCACACATCACAATCTTCCAAGAACACAAACTATCGACTGAACGATGCGGAGAGCCATAAACTATTAAAAGAACGACCGAAGTAAAACGACAGCTGAATAAAAGAGCTTAATTGTGAACGATTGAACTAGAAGACCGAACTAGTTCAGTCTATAGAGCTGAACTAAAAAGAGCGATCAGCTAACTGAACTAGATAGAACAACTCTACTTCAAATATATATGTGCACAATTACAAACCTTAACAATCATTGGTATTGATTTACCAGCCCATTGAAAATCTTGAAAATTTTAAATCGAGAATGGGGGGTTCCCTTAAGTTTTGTAAAAATCGGTTCAGATTTAGAAATATCCTCTTTATGTAAGTGATTATATATCCCGTGTTATATTGTATTTTCTCTATGGATTTGTACAACATCTCCGTCATTTTTGGTTTTCAATATTTTGATAGGCTTATATCATCATGTATTTTGTTCCCTCAATTTGGAGTTTGACCATCGTACAACATTTTATGTCGGAAAGGAGTTGCTACCCTAGCTTATCATAAGGAACCTCACTTCACCACTTCATAATAAAAGTGCCCACAAAAAAATGTAACTATTTATAAATAAAAATAGTTATAAATTTCAAATTTGAATATTTATTATTTCCAATATATCTATTGGATTCTTCACTTATCATCAGGGCATTGAAGAAAACTGTGTTGTTTTTCTGTCGACGAACTTATTAACCAACTTATTAACGAACCATTAAAATTATAAAAACTTTTTCCATACAACAATTTATATTAGTCTTCTATTTTTATAAACTCTACTTTTGAACTTCCTAATACAAATACAAACTACTTAGCACAGACATAAACCATTCGAATATTATAATGTGGCAATACCCTTTAAATGTTACCATAACCAATATATTTTTCCAACAACTGCAACCAACTTCATATTGTTTATAAACGATAACTGTCAAATTGTCACGAAAAAACAAAGTCATCAAGCAGTTGACAAAGAAGAAGAAGCATTCATTATATTGCAAAAAATTTCGTTGTTTTCTCAATACAATTTAGGTATTCTCAAAAATGGTAAGTTTTCTTAATAAAAAATTATTTTTAAAACTTAATCTAATTAATGATTAATTTTACCTTTTAGGAACAATCAATTAAAGTTCAACCCACTGCAAATACCGTTTTGGATGCCGCTCCAACTGTGGCTGCTCCCGGCAAAAGCAATTGCCTAATGCAAGTTGCTCACATTCATAGGCTGCGCGATTCGGAGGCTAACTATGACACACATCAATATAACTTACAAATGCAAGTGTTGAGGAATCGCGAAGGCTTGAATGCCCCACTGAAAATGGGTATGGAGTTGCATGCTGCCCGTCAAATTGGTCGTTTGCCATTTTTGCAGTCAAGGTGAGAACTAGATAGGAAACTCTGAGATTCCAGAGGGATTTTAAATTAAAGTGATTTTATGATTGTCAATCCTTCGGCCAATGAGTTGAGACTTCCTCCCAAGGACAGATGACAACGTTGGATATGCGAAAGAGTCTCCTTTTGAAAAAGGAAGAACCAAATCTACTTTACGGACGCCTCTCAGATCATTTTGAAATTACTATAGGTAGCCCTTCTGATGCTGATTACAACAACATAATTCTTTCGGGGAAAATCAGTACTTCTCCGAGATATGGGGCTCCAAAGTTCCAAAATTACCCACACATCCTATTAAATATCTTTCAGAACACCACTCAGAAACGTTTGAAAATTTTACTGTAGATAGTGTCCATCACAACCACATATTTTTTCAGAAGAATTTTATACTTCCGGAAATATGGTGTTTCAAAATTTAAATTGTTACCACCGGGGGTTTAAGACCTTCACCTATAGACAGGTGTAAAATTGGACTACGCGAGCAGAATTTTCTCTTCATTTCAATTTTTTTTGAGTAGACGGCCATCGGCCGGGGATTTAAAGCTTTCTACTATCGGCAGTGGAATATTGGGCTAGGCGAGCAGAATTTTTTTTAAATTAATTTTTTTCTAAGTAGCCAGACTTTTTAAAAATTTGGTACCCCATATTCGGAATCCTCCCCAAACAAATTAAAAAGTTGTCATTAGTATCAAAAGGACAATCTGTAGCAAATATTTCAAAACGTTTCGGAGTGGTATTCTTTAAGATATTTAATTATTGGGGGTGTTTTTTGAACTTAGGAACCCGATATTTCGGGAAGTACTAATTTCCCCCCGAGAAAATTTATGTTGTTCAGATCGGCTACCTATGGTATAAATTTCAAAATGATCTGAGATGTGTGCGTAAAGTACAACTGAAATATTAAGAGTCCCAACGGAGGCTTGAAGGCCCCTATCTAGGAAATTATGAGCTTCCGCATGAAATATATATCACTGTACTCGGAGGATATTGCTGTTACGGTTCATGAACAATATAGGTGTTATGAAGCGAATGGTGAACCGTGTATGGTCTAAACTTAGTTGATCTTAATAGTTACACTAACCATAGATTTAGTGCAACTATCGGCTATATAGACCATTAATTTGTAGTGCCTTTATCAAAAACTGTCACTATGTTGAAAAAAATTATCATCCGCGACACTAAACTGTGATACCGTAGACTTCCGTAAACCAAAATAGCATATCAAAAGTCAGCATACGTGTATACAACGTTGTCATATGCTGGGGGTATATATCTTTCGGTTACGCCGATGTTAAATTCTATAGGTTCAAGTTTCAATACAGTTCTTTGTCATACCTCTTTACTTTGGCTGCCCTTCAACACTTACATATCTTCATTTTCTGAGTAATAATCTGACAATGACAATTTTCAGTTATTATTTATATATATTTATATAATCTGGGTTTATATTTATTATATATTTCATATTTCCTTCTTTTTTACAGCCGCATGATGGAAGATGTTTTATTGGGCCGTGACGAAATGATCACATTCCCCGACTTTTTGGGTGTACCAGAAAATTTCGAATTCATTCGTCAACCTCATGTTGTCATGGAAAAATCTTTAGGAATTTACTAAACATCTATTATCCAAATTACATTAAATGTACAATGGAAACTATATAAAATATGTGAAGAGGTTTTTTTGTAATTAAACATTTAAGAAAATAAATAAAAATATTTAAAATGTATATTTTTAATTTTTTTTATGTATTATAGTTTTTTTTTAAGTATGAAGGTACTAGAGAATAAGTTTGGAAATTGTTAACAATATATTCGTCCTTATAGAATATCGTATATGATCGATAAAGATATTTGCAACTGATCGTATGTCTTCTGATAAATCTGAATATTATTTTAATGCATAATATACCACCGACGCTTTGGCTTAATTTAAGGTCGACAATGTTTCTTGAGCGATGTCACTGGTACAACCAATCTACGACTTAGGAATATATCTATATTAATAAAAGAGTAAAGTGATTGACTGACTGACTTAACGATTCATAAACGCCCAGACAAAATGGATCAAGCAAGAATCTTGAAATTTTGGGTAAGGGTCACTCTTGGTCCAAAGGTGGAAG